AGGTTTTAAAATCGTTATTATAAAAGCCAAATTTCTCAAAAGAGAACAGCTGGGGAATTCTTCACTTGATTTAATGATAATTTCATTTTTAAAAAGATGAATGAAACAGAAGAGAGAAGAGTTTTTCTGGACCCTGTCCTTTTCATAAGTGAGGAGCTGATTGCTGATATACTAATGATAAGAACCTTAGGAGCTGGTTAGCCCTTCATGATTATATAGTTCTAATAGGATCATTGATCTAGAGTACTTGACAGAGTGCAACACTTGGAGTCAGGTAAGACATGAGTTCAAATCCTGCCTTACACATTTTGCTAGTAGTTTGGCCATAGGAAAATCACTCAGCCTCTCTTGGTAGGCCTCAGTTTCCTCATCCTTAAAAGAAGGGAGTTGAACTAGTGATTCCAGCTCTAATTCTATGATTTTGTGGAGCCCATTCTCAGCATTTCATCTCCCACTTTCATGCATCTGTACAGGCTTTCTTATATGCCTGAAATACACTTCTTCCTTATCTTTGATTCTTAGAATCCTTAGTTTTCCTTTAAGGAATAACTCAGGTCATACTTCTTATGGGAAGCCTTTTCTCATCTCCTTGGGTAGTAGTGTTCTTTCCTTCCTTAATTTATAATGTTTTTATTTGCCTGTTGAATGTTGCATACTTCATTAGAATCTAAGCTCCCTGAGGGCAGGGACTTTTTTTTTTTAGTTTGAACCTAGTAGTGCTTTGCATATAGTAGTTGCTTAATAAATGCTCACTGAGTTGAATTCCATTGGAGCAATGGAGTAGTAATGGCAGAACAACTGAGAACTTCCTGGACCAAGCCTCCTATGCTCAGTGGAGGAGTTTTCTTAATTGAGCAGATTAGTTCTTGGACCAAGTAAGATTTACAGTCTAGGAGAAACAAGAGACAGAACCATATTGTTGTTGTTCAGTTGTGCCCAACTCTTTGTGACTATATTTGAGGTTTTCTTGACAAAGAAACTGAAGTGGTTTGCCATTTCTTTCTCCAGCTCATTTTACAGATGAAGAAACTGAGGCAAACAGGGTTAAGCGACTTGCCTAGAGTCACATAAGTGTCTGAGGCTAGATTTGAACTCAGGTCTTTCTGACTTAGGCCTGGCTCTCTATCTACTATACCATAATGTACAGGAGTAAACCTGACCTTGATTTTTACTATTACTGTGAGTTACATAGACAAAATGGATCTAGGGAAGGGTGCTGATTTTCTAACAATACTGAATTCTTTTTTGGGGAGGAAAGGGGGCAAGAGTGGGAGAACAGAAGAGAATTCAGCTCTAATGTAGGAATCTGCAGGACTGTGTAGCTCCCGGGGGCAGTAGTAGAAGAGTAGTTGTGATGGGTTGTGGACGTGAATATAAGTGCTTTGTGTTTCTTTAGTTGGGTTATACAAAGCCTGTCCCATATTGGATTGTTGGCCTGCTTGCTTGCATATGAGCTAAGAACCATTTTCCTTTTGTTGTGGATACCAAGACATAAGCTAAATTCTGATGTTGCCAAGAGACACCCTGGGAGGAGTCACAATCCAAAGATACAAGATTATTGAGAAGCTCATAAGATGGACTTAGATCCTGTATTGACCAAATATTTGGTTCTAGACCACGAATAATTTAGGCATTATTATTTCTCAATGGCTTAAAAATTGTCTTGACACTTCTTTGGAATGTACTTTGGATTGCTTCATTCTTCCTTAAGTGCCTTAAATGCCATTTCTACTTCTTTATTATTTTTTTTGGTGAGGCATTGGGGTTAAGTGACTTGCCCAGGGTCACACAGCTAGTTAAGTGTTATGTGTCTGAGGTCAAATTTGAACTCAGGTCCTCCTGACTCCAGGGCTGCTGCTCTATCCACTGAGCTACCTAGCTGCCCCCATTTCTACTTCTTTATAAGGGCAAGGATGTTAGGTTACATATATGGTAGCTCTTCTGTCATTGATAAAGAAAATAGTTTGAGAACCCAGTGTCACCTCTATGCCATGATGAAGCATCAAAGAAGGATGTTGTAGAGGCTCTATATGTAGTTTTGTTGAAATCTTAGAGAATATTTTAGTATGTGTGAAAATAGTATGGGGGGGCTGTTAAGATCACCTTCCCTCTTAGCAGTTTAAGTAATTGTTTTTGTTTCATGACTTAATAGTAACCTTGTTACACACATTATTTTTTTTACATTTGACATATTCATGAAAATTTTATAATGCACTTCTGATATCTGAATCTGCCATCTCTGCTGCTCCATTCATCTCCACCTGGATTGTGTCTCTGGACCAGACCACCAGAAAAAAAATAACCCCACCCCCTGGGGAAGTTAATCCACCTAGCTTTGGAACTTTTTCCAGGGATGAAAATTTTCAATTATTGATTGAATGAGTCAAAATGTAACTAGCCCATATATTTAGCTGCCTCCAGACTACCAGACCTGATCATACTTCCCATTCCATCTAGATGTCTGCCTCAGCCATTTGGCCATTTGATTTTTGGCCCATTTTTCATCTTTTGCATTGGGCTCAGAAACCAAATTTATACAACCATTCCATTCTTGTTCTTGGAAAGAACATGTCAGTTGGTTGTCCTATGGATCAACTAAGCATTTCTGTGACTCCTCAGGCACTCCTCCCTCGCTGCCACAGACACACACACACACACACACACACACACACACTCCCTTTACTGGGATATGAACTTCTTGATGTCAAAGACAGTTTTGCTTTTTTTTTTTTCCATTTGTATCTCAACTGCTTAGCACAGTGCCTGGTACATAATAAACACTTGACTGCTTTTTCATTCATTCTCTTTGTCTCTAATGATGACACGGCTATTTAGGATGGAATGTCAGTATTCTAAAAGTAAAAGAAAGTAGAAATCTAAGAACTATTGCAAAAGCAAACAAAATAAAACACCTAACAAACTAGTATTTAGGACTTCTGTTTTGTCCCCAAACTTTTTGAGAGTGGGGAAGAAGGAGCATCGTGAAATCATAGAAACAGTAGTGCGTGTCATCTCAGAATAATGACCCATTCATGCATGGGGTTGTGCTGTGTATCAGCAAAGAAAGTAGACATATCAATAAAGCCAAGGATCCACTCAAAGCGTGTTTGTTCAAAAAAGGAAAAAAAGAATGAAAGTAAGAAAGATAGACTTTTTACTGAAAAAAAAAGATTCCTTTCCTCTACCCCCCGAATAAAAACCATTTCAGGGGTCAACCAAACAGCTTCAAAATCAGACCAAAGGTTAAAGCCAGATACCCAGAAGGAACAGAGAGAAATATGCCCAAGTTCTATAATAAGGCCAAAGGTAAGGTGAGGGAAGGGGTCTACACAGAGCAAGATAAAGACAATAGACAACAAAGCAGACAGAGGAACATGGTATTTCAACTAATTAGACAACAAATTGCTTAGAAGAAAGATAAGCCCAAGAGTACATCTCCTGATGTGTCCCCCAACTATCTTAATTGTGGGCTTAGATATCTCCAGGGAGAAATTTCTCTCTTTTTGTGGTTGAGAAACAATAAGGAGACAACAAGGTGACTCTAAAGCCAGAGGACCAGGATTCAATTATTCATCAACAAACATTTGCCATTTACTATAGGGAACTGGTCAAAAGCTATAAACAGGCAATTTTCAAAGGAAGAAATTCAAGCTATTAACACATATTAAAAATTCTCTAAATTATAAATATTCAGAGAAATACAAATTAAAGCAACTTTGAGATTCCATCATATACCTGTCAAATTGGGAATGAGAAAAGAGGAAAATGGTAAATGTTGGAGGCATTGTAAGAAAACAGTCACACTTGTAAACTGTTTGTGGAGCTGTGAATTGGTCCAACCAGTCTAGAAAGCTATACCACTACTAGGCCCACACCCCAAAGAAAACATAATTTTTTTATCTGAAAGTATCAAAATTTTTGCTTACTGTTGGGAAATCAAGTGTGACTATCTCCATGTGTAGCTGAAGTGGAATTGAGAAGCAGGTCATAGGAGTTGAGGGGATTAAGTAATTGAGATGTCAGGATGTTTGAGGGGATATCAACACATGTGTTGAATTTCTTAGCTTGAAGCTTAGAGTTGGAAGGAGAGGAAGACTGTGAGCCAGGTACCCTTCAGATAGGATGGAGACTTATTCAGGGGATTAGAGTCATAGGGGATGGAGAGGAGGGACAATAGTAAATATTTGCCACTAGAATCTGAATTATATGATAAATTTGGATAGAGTGAACTTCAAATCCAACCTGTGATTTTATTACTTGTGTGATCTTAGGTAAGTCACTTAACCTTGCTGGGCCCTGGATTTCTTATTCATAAAATGGATGTGGATAGACTAAATGACCTCTAAGGTCCCTTCTAGTTCTAGATCAATATTTCTATGAATTTAGAGTTTATCGTCATGCTAAGGAAGATCCTTGCTTACAAGGGTTAAATTCTTCTGCAGTTTGATTCAGGCATAAAATCATGGAATAAGGTGATGCATTGGGAAGTCATAGAAGAGAATTTCTTGGTTTTATTTCTCTCAGCCAAGCAGCCAATGAGGGATAAATATTGCCAGGTTTCACAGAAGGAATAGTATTACAAAAGGAATTGGAGAGATGGAAGCTTTCTGAGAACCACTGAGGGTTGACTGAATTTTAATAAATTTGAAGAATGGGAAAGGAACAAGAACAGCCTGACCAGCTAGTTTAGCAGCAAAAAACCAAAAAATGTTTTTAAAAAGTGCCCTTTGGAAAGATTTCCTCAAAGAGATTAAGAAAGGAAGACTTTTAACCCTCAGAGAGTAACAAAGGATTACCATCCTTCATTGAAAAGATACTAAATTTATTAATGGATTTGGGGAACTGCCCTACAACTGTGGGCCACTAGGTGGTACCGGCAGCCCGAGGCTTCATTACACACAGAAGCTACTCTAAAAAGAGTGAGTTGGTAGAAAGGAGGGAAGAACTGAAGAAGGAGGGAAGATGGGGAGAGGGGGAGGGAGGAGGAGTCTTCAGCTGAGCTCAGGAGAGTCACTAACTCTGTGAGTCTATATAAGGGCAGCTAGAATGGAGGTAATTGATGCTTTTGCTTTACGGATTTGAGAATTCCTGCCTTCCCTGGTGATGGCATCTTGTTCCAGGCAAACATCACAACCTATAGATTCGAGGTGTCCTGGGAGAGCTGCAACTTCCAACAGCTGGGGGAGAAAGAGTGCTGTCTGGGGACAGAAGTAAGCTCTGAAGACTGGTAAATAGCTACAACTATCTACTGATTTGAAAGCCTGTTGGGAGCAATATAAACCCATTCTTAACTTGTAGGCATAGAAGTGTGTGAGCAGGAGCTAGCATGGCTAAGTGAATATTTCTTAAACTGTTCTGTAAGATATTTTTCTAGGGAATATGATTCACTGAACTCCCTTAGAAGGGGGCATGGTTAATTATTCTGCCCATATCTACCATGTGATTGCAGCTCAATAATCTTTATTGTGATCATTCTCAATAGGAAAAAATGATGAAAATCTGAACACCATTTTAAAAACAACAGGAAAACTGTGCTCTGGGTTTAGAGGGCAAAAGGAGTGTTTGGATCACAATGGGCAGAAAGCAGTTGTGTAACTGGGGGAATGAAGTTGTTTTTTTTTTCTAGGAGCTAGTATTTTTGGTGCACTTTCCTGCTCATGTATTTTTATGGAATGAATAAAATGATTTCTCAAGAAATGCCAAAGTGAGAAAAGGTAGAATTCAGTGAAGGAAAACAATTTTTAGTCCTCACTTCTCCTCAATTTTCAAAATGCAGATGCAAACCTATGTTTTTGCAGTGATGCAAGGGACCCCAAAAGTGAACATGATGAAGCTAATGAAATCATATTAATTAGTTATCAGAATTGTGACAATCTGATTTGAGAGAGTCAGGATGAATACTGAGAGAGCAGGTGCACATCTATCATTCTGGGTGGGATTTTTGGGAAGGGTACACATTCTTCAGACATCTATTTCTTTAGCATAATATCTACCAAATGAGACACACACACATACACACACACACGCACAGAGAGGGAGAGAGAGAGAGAAAGAGAGACAGAGAGAGAGAGAGAGAGAGAGAGAGAGAGAGAGAGAGAGAGAGAGAGAGAGAGAATGAATGAGAATAGAAGGGACAGTAATAGAAGGGACAGAAAGGGAGCAAATCTGTTTTGTTGTTTATGACCTTAATTTTCTTGTAAGTGGGGTGGAACTAGAAAAGAAAGGGGTACCAGGAAGTCCAATTAAACTCTAGAGCACATTACTATAGACATAATCAAGATTGTCAGGGATTTAACAAAGAAGGAGATATACCTAGAAAGGAACTGTTAGGAATATTTCATTCAATTTGACTGTCTCTGCTGGCTTGAGCTTGCTTGTGTCATGTAGCTCTGTCTTTTTGGTAGGGCTGCTTCTCTGTCTGGATCACATGTTTGCTACCCTGTTTTACAGCAAATTCACTGCAAAGAAAAGAGTCTCTTCCTCTCATGATGAACTCCTCTTTTTTTCTGCACACCTTGGATGTCAACTTGAGCTCTTTGGGAGCCAACATGTCAGGACCCGTGATCAAGAGCAAGTCATCACCCTGTGAGCAAGTGGGCATAGCTGTTGAGGTGTTCCTGACTCTTGGTATCATCAGCCTCTTGGAGAACATTTTAGTCATCGGTGCCATAGTTAAGAACAAGAACTTGCACTCTCCCATGTATTTCTTTGTATGCAATTTAGCTGTTGCAGACATGCTCGTGAGTGTGTCCAATGCCTGGGAGACCATCACAATATACTTAATAAACAATAAGCATCTGGTGATAGAAGATGCTTTTGTGCGCCATATAGACAATGTATTTGATTCTATGATCTGCATCTCTGTGGTGGCCTCAATGTGCAGTTTGTTGGCTATTGCAGTGGACAGGTATGTCACCATCTTCTATGCCCTGCGCTACCACAACATCATGACAGTGAAGCGATCAGGGATCATCATTGCATGCATCTGGGCCTTTTGCACTGGCTGTGGCATCATCTTCATCCTTTACTATGAGTCTACTTATGTCATCATTTGTCTCATTACCATGTTTTTCACCATGCTGTTCCTTATGGTATCGCTATATATCCATATGTTTCTCCTGGCTCGGACTCACGTGAAGCAGATTGCAGCCCTGTCTGGCTATAGTTCGGTCCGGCAGAGGATCAGCATGAAGGGGGCCATCACCCTGACAATGTTACTTGGTGTTTTCATTGTTTGCTGGGCTCCATTTTTCCTCCACCTCATCCTAATGATTTCTTGTCCCCAGAACCTTTACTGTGTTTGCTTCATGTCCCACTTCAACATGTACCTCATACTCATCATGTGTAACTCTGTGATTGACCCTCTGATCTATGCCTTCCGCAGCCAGGAGATGAGGAAGACCTTCAAAGAGATTATTTGTTGCTATGGACTAAGAATGACCTGTGGGTTCCCTATCAAGTATTAAAAACATAATGTTTATTCTACTTGTTTTTCTCTCTCATTTCCTTTTTGGACAAAGACATGTGTACTGCAGAGGGGTGGTTAGTTTTGTAGGCAGGCAAACTGCAAATCCAGCCATATATTAACTTTTCATGTTTTCTTCCAAAATCAGATGCATGTATGAGTTTTTCCCTCTGCGTTGTTTGGAATGCTAATTTACCCTCAATTATCCATCTGTGGCTAATCCATTTAAGATGTTACTTCAAATTTCCAAATTCCAGGCTGACTCCTTCCTTCCCTTCTTCCCCTCCTCCATCTAATGTCATTTTCCCAGATCCCTGTTGGTGTTGCTTGCTTGGAGAATGCAAACTAAGTTTAGCATTGTCCTGAGCAAAACAGAATCAAGGAACTAAATCGTCTTCCTTGCAAAATAAAGAAATAAATCATGCAATATGTTCTCAACCCAAATCCAAATGATTATAGGGAGAGTGTCTGTTTGTAAACCAATAGGCTAATGCTCCCCTCTCAATTAGTGTAGATAATTGAGAGCTGACTACATTTTAAAAAAGTGATATATTTCTCCCCCAGAAACAATTTTATGACTGCTTGATGCTCGTTTGAGTTAGACATACTTTCTAAGAGAGATAAGAGAGTACTCCTGCTCCAACTTTGCCTTGTTTTATTGTCATTGTTGAAACACCTCATTTCTTTCCTCCCCATCCCCAGTTTTGTGGTTTTTGGGTGTGTATTCATTAAGTGCCTGCCAGTGACATTTTCTTGTTTCTAACAAAAAAAATATGTTGTACTACTTCTTATAACTTGACTTCTGTGGATCTCATTTTTGTTGCCTGACTCCTGTTGAATTCAAGGTTTCAGATTGACTTCTTGGGGTAACATTTCCTGGGCCTGCACCAGAAATCAGCATCTGTAAGCCCCACAAATTTTGCTGTGGCCCAAATTTAAGGTCAAGATGTGCCACTAATTGACCATTGACTCTTGAAAATCTTCTAATTCATGGATGGTAGTTCTTGAATAGTGTGGGATTGAAGAACTCAAACTCACTGGAGAGAGTGTGGTACAAGGGGAAAAACACTGAATTTGAAGTGAGAGGACTTGGGTTTGAATCTTAGATCTGCCACTGTCTACCTGTGAGATCTTCAGGAAGTCGTTTAACCTTTCTGAGCCTCACTTTCCTCACTTGTAAAATTGGGGAATTGGAATCGCTGTGCTTCCTTCTAGCTGTGTCTGATTACTAGAATATCAGTATTAGGAAGTTAGAGGTGGTCTCTAGAGCCTTACATACCAAGAAAATCATTCTGCCTTTTAGGGAATTGTCTTGTTGACTAAATAAGTCATTTATTTCTAAGCTAACCACCCATTCACATGAATGAAAAGCAAATAACCTTTTGTATTGCTCCAGAAAATCTTGATATGCTGATTTTATTTGTTGCATAATAGTCACTCCAGACTAGCTTTTGTTATTGGTCCAGCAGATTTGGATGCTGCAGATGGTGGGTGGGCAGTAGAGTTATAGTTTCACAGTATTTCCTTTGAGTGTCCAGCTACCATATGGTTAAAGCTTTCCTCCATGGTGCTTCCTGATTTGCCATAAGATCAGAACTTTTTATTTTCAGTCCCTTATAGAAATGCTCAAAATGTATTTTAGTATATAACTATGTAAATAACCCAGAAACTGCTCAAGACCTTGGACCTTCAGCTGGAAGGACTGGATCTATCCTGAGCAGCAATGTGAATAACTGTAAATGAGTAAATAAGAAACCAACCAAACCAAAATATATCCATTTTATGTATTTGATGGCCTTGTGGATGAGTAATTTATGTTTCCTTGGGGCTTTACTCAGTGTAAAAATAAGGTAATGGTAAATAAAATAGAAGAACTGGAAAAACCATTTGTAGTTGTCAATTGAATGTTTTTGATTTAAGGTTTATTTGGTTTTACTGAGAATTTCTTAGCACCAATGGCAACTGAGATGGTACATTAAATGTTAAATTACGTTGTAGTACCTCTGTCAACATGCATTATTGTAAGAGACACTATTTCTCCATTCAAAATAACATTAATTTATAGAAATAAAATAGCACATTTGTTACAAATACAGGTTAAATCACTCTTTCATTTGATCACTATTTGACATTTGAAACCCTTCACACTCAGGCTCCTACCTATCTCTTTTAGACAATTTCTGGTGGTTCCCCTTCATACACTCTGTTTCAGTCATACTGACTCACTTGCTGTTTTTCTGTACACACTACTCCATCTCCCGCCTCAGTCAGTACCTTTTTGCAAACTGCTCCTCAAGCCTGGGATGTACTCCCTCATCACCTTCACCTCTTGGAATACTTGTTTCCTTCAAGAGTTAGCTCAATTTCAATCTCCTACATGAGGCTTTTCCTGAATCCTCCCCAGTTATTTGTACCCTTCTCCCTAAAATTACTCTATATTTGCTTTGTATAAACTTTCTTTTGACTTATTCTTTACATGTTGTAGCCCCTAGTAAAATTTTGTGTGTTTGATAGCCTTGTAAATGAGTGTGTTCTGTTTCCTTAAAACCTTGCTTGGTGTAAAAATCCCATTCCTTGAATTCAGAGGCTGTTTCACTCTTGTCTTTGTACCCCCAGTGCCTACCCCACTACCTTGCATTAAATAGGTAAGTGCTTGGTGAATGAATGAGTGATCAATTAAAAAGGGTTTTTTTTGGGTTATCTCCTGTATGTGCTGGCCATTATGTAGAGGTAGCTAGGCACAATGGATAGGACACTGGAAGATCTGAGTTCAAATCCAGCTTCAGGTACTTAATAGCTGTGTGACCCTGAGCAAACCACTTAAGCTTTGGTGGAGTTGTATAGTAGAGATTCTTGGTCAGGCATGGATTGGATTAGGTAGCTTTGGTATATTCTTTGAATTCCAACTTGACCATTTCCAACTTCAGGCCTCAATGATGCCCCTGTCCTTGGGGATCCTAAAACACTTATGGCCTACTACACAATTGAGTGTTAATTACATCCACTTATATTATGTACTCATTTCATTTTTTTTTTTTTTGGTAAGGTAATTGGGGTTAAGTGACTTGCCTGGAGTCACACAACTAGTAAGTGCTATGTATCTGAGGCCGAATTTGAACTCAAGTCCACTTGACTCCAGGGTTGGTGCTCTATCAACTGTGCCGCCTACCTCATTTCATTTCTGGGGTATTTTTTCCCATTACAGAGAATAAGCCTCCTCATCACTGGCATTACTGCTCCACTTAGCCAGTGGAAGTGTGGTCCATCTCTTTGCTTGAAGACTTCCAGTAAGAGGAATCCACTGCTTCTTGGGTCAGCCTATTCCATTTTGAGATAACTATAATTCTTAGCAAGTTTCTCCTGACATCAGATCTAAATCAGCCTCTCTGCAATCTCTCATTTATGTTCTTACTTCTAGTACTAGGTAGAACTGGAGTAGAGAGAAACAGATGTATAATAAGGTCATTTTGAAGGAAGAATCTCTCTAGACCATGACCTCCCTTTTCAGCAAGTTTTACTTAGCAATATTGTGAGAATCCTAAGGTTAAGACCTGGAAAAGACCTTATTATTTAGTCAACTCCCTTATTTTCATGGCTATGCAAACTGAGGATTCAGAGAAGAAAACTGACTTGCTTCCAGGCATTTAGATGGCATAGTGGGTAGAGCATTGGGCCTGGAGACAGGAAGACCCAAATTCAAATTTAGCCTCAGACACTTACTAGCTGTGTGACCTTGAGCAAGTCCTTTAACTTCTCTTTGCCTCGATCTCCTCAACCATAAAATGGGGGGGGGGAAGAATAACAGAATCTGCCTTGCTAGGTTGTTGTGAAGATTAAATGAGATGATATTTGTAAAGTGTGTAGCAAGTAGTAGATACCATATAAATACTTATTTTCCCCTTTACCCTTACCACTTACTCATGGTCACATAGATAGTAAACATTCACACCAGGATTTAAACCCAGCTGATTGGCACCATCTTCCTATAGCATGTTGGTCCTTCCTCCTTGCTGCCCTGTTTAATAAGATTTAATAATTCAGAGTCTCCTGTACATGAGCTGAGCCCTACATGCTCCTTTCCTTTCCTGCAAGAGTCATCACTTGTTTTTAGGTCTAATTCTTACCTTGTAGTGGGTTCATAGTAGATATGAAAGCTCCTTAAAAGAGTGCTTGGGCTTATTTCAAGCTCCTCTTCCTCTAACTTTGACTTGTAACTGAGCAACTCCAAGTCAGCTTATTTGAGTACTGTGTCAATACAAGGGTAATAACGGTACCCGTAATCTGGAATATGTGAGGCCTCAAAGTAGAAGCACATGGTGGGGATGTGAATCAGGAAACAATATGTTAGTTTTGGTGCTTAACTCAAGGAACTATTAATTTGGAAAAAAGTTATGCCTAAGAGTTATATTTGATGTCTTCATGAGGGGGAACCCACTAACTCCCAAGGTAGGCTGTTCACTTTTGGATCTGTTTTATTTTTGGAAAGGTTTTGGTTTTGTTTTTACATTGAACTTGTCTGCCTTTTTGCAATTTCTGCCTGTTGTGCATAGTGCTGCCCTTGGTCAAGCAGAACAAATCTATTTCATTTCCCATATTATGATTGTTTCTTCAAATATTTGAAGACAGCTAGCTCTACTCCTTATCTCCTGACTTTCCTTCCTCTCCACCTCCTCCTGCCCCAGATGTCTTCTCTCTTCAGCCTAAATGTCCTGAATCATAGCATCACAGAATTTTGGAGATGGAAGCAGAGATCTACTGGTTTAACCACTGGCTCTTTGGGTGGGTGGGTAGGAGTATATATGATACACTCTTAAGTTTAATCTGCCTTATTAAAATGTTCTCCATTATTTTCTTTAAGTTAGACGATCAACAAAACATTAAATCTAACCACAATTGTAGCATGTGTTGATTTCCATAGTGTAGGTGCTTACACTGAAAATTTAACAGTTGGCTTTTGTGAATGGATTTGAGCTGGTTCCAGCATACTCTTTCTTGGAAGGAACTTTAGGAGCAGTCATTTTAGTCTAGTTCATAACCCCCAAGAGTTCCTACTATCATATATCCAGAATGTTGTCTTCTAGCCTCTGTTTGAAAGCTTTCTTTATGGGCAACTCAATACCTATCAACAGAGCCCATTTGCTTTTTGATAGCTTTAGTTTTCCTGATCTTAAACCTTTTGTGACATTTGCCCATTGTTTCTGGTTCTACCCTTTGTGGATGAACAGAAGAAATCTAGTCCCTTTCTCACATAACAGCTTTCAAATACTTGAAAACAGTTATCATGTCCTACCTGACCCTTTTCTTCCTGAAGCAAAAACACTCTTGGTTATTTCAACTGATTGTTATGTGGAATGGACTAGAGGCTTTTTAACATTCTGATTGCTTTGGAGTTGGAAGAGTTCTTTTAGTCTATCTTTCATTTTGCAGAAGAAGAAATTTATGCCCCAGGGAGGGGAAGAAACTATCCTAGTTCATACCAGCAGTAACATTTCCAAATCACTATAGTGCTCCTCTATTATTATATCCAGGTGAGTTGTATAATTTAGCAATGGACTGAATGTGGAAGTTTTTCTTTGCATGTAATTCAGTTACCATCTTTGTAAATATTCAATATAGAACTAGAAGGGACCTCAGAGATCATCTAGTTTGATACCTTTCATTTTACAGTCAAGGAATGTGAAGATCAGAGAAGTTAAGTGACTTGTATAAGGCCACAAAATAACAATAGCTAATATAACACTTGCTATGCAATATAGCATTTAATGTGCCATACGCTATACTGTTTATAATTATTATCTCAGGTAATCCACATAACAACCATGAAAGGTAGGTAGTTGTTATCCCCATTTTACCAATGAGGAAATTGAAGCAAACAGAGGTTAAGTGACTTGCCCAGGGTCATATAGATAGCATTTGAAATCTAATTTGAGCTGGGGTCTTCCTGACTTCAGAGCCAGCACTTTATCCATTGTACTGCCTAGTATCAGGAGCAATTAGATAACATAGTAGATAGAGAGTATTGGACTTAAGAGTCTCCTCTATGCATCCTGGGCCTTTCCAGTTGTTTTGATTCATATCTGGCCACTGGACCCAGATGGCTCTGGAGGAGAAAGTGAGGCTGGTGACTTTGCCCAGCCCTCCCTCCCTCCAATCCAATTCACTTGCATGTCATGGCATCAACTCCCTGATGTCATGATCCTCTTCAAGAATGAAGGACAAACAGCAGCAGCAGCAGCAGCAGCAGCAGCAGCAGCAGCAGCAGTAAGCGTCTACAAAGGTCATAAGTAATCATCTATAGTGTAGATGGTTACATAGTATAGATAGCATATAGACTGGATAGTATAGATTCTGTACTTTTGTTTAGATTTCACAAGATACAGGGTATATTTGAGAAGAAGCCTGACTTTCTCCTTATTCCCTATCCCAGATTCTAAAAGGTAGACCTCCCAAGGTTCCTATCATTTCAACCCCAGCAACCAGAGCTGCCTTGTTGGTGAGAATATGGTACAGAAAATAATTTCCCCTTTTTGGATTCTTAACATTTGAAGAATAAAATTATCATTAGGAAAAGGCTGTTTGTTAAATTTCTGCTTTTTCAAAGCAAATACTCAGGTAATTCTAATAGACTCTTTTATAAGACATAATTACAGTTCAACAAAGATTAACACTACAGGCAACCATGAATTGAATGAAAATTTAATGTAGGAGAGGGTAGAAATCCAATGAATTAACTTCTTCTAGCAATCTGACACAACAATTTTCCTGGAAAAAAAAAACTTGGAATTGACTCATATGTACAAAAATATTTATAGCAGCTAGTAGAAAGGAACTGGAAACTTGGGATGTTCCCATCTATTGTGGAATGGCTAAATATGGCATACGAATGTACTGTACCATCATTATACAGTGAAAAATGATGGGATGGTTTTAGAGAAATCTGGGAAAACTTAAAGCAGCTGATGGATAGTGAAGAGAACAGAACCAGGAGAACAATTTATATAACAACACTAAATAGTCATCAATATAATGATCAGCCATGATTCCAGAGGACTGATGATGAAGCATACTACTC